AATCATGACAGTGTTTTAAATTATACACCCTGCACAATCACGGCATGGACTGGAATTGAATCTCTTCCATCTCAGAGTACTAGGATCAGAGGTTTACTGGAGCACCTGTAAATTGGGCAGAGCCCACACTTCAGCAGTAGGGGATTATGCACTTGCTTTCACACACTGTTCTTTTTGGTATCACCAACCCCAAGCATTCAAAAATCATGAGTTAGCCCTCCAAAAATTAGAAAACTGGGTTTAAAATCTTTGTTTAAAAAAAAAAAAAAAAAAAATATCCCCCCCCCCCCCCCTTTGGTCTTCTGATTTCTGAGCATTTAGGTTGTACTCTGTTCATGTTCCTGACTTTTCTCTAAATATCAGGGCTAAAATCTTTTTTGAAAGATGTGGAGATTTTTGGTTATATGAACCTGGCAGCTGAGTCTTTAAGAAAAACACCAAATATTGTGAAATTCACAGCAAAATTGTCAGAGTTGGTAATCACACCTCCTGCAGCAGTATAACTGACCAAGATTGCTCAGTCGCCTGTGCGAAATGATTTTTTTGGCCTCTCTCCACTTCCGATGGAACAGATATCTACATTACAAAAACCACACTTGAATTAGCCCCCTCTTAGCAGACGCATCAAGGATCAATGGACTCTAGACCATGTACTCTCCTCTGTGCCAAAGAGATGAGCCCTCCAATTTGTGGTTGAGCCACGGTTGGGGACACTTTGTATTTCTGCTCTGGCTGTACCCATTCTGTGCATAGGGCTGTGAGACAAACACCTCTTCATTTAGAGAAACACACCAGATGGTGGGATCATGTCTCTGCTCTTGCTGGCCCAGCTGGGGAAGCACAGACATAGCCTTCTGCTTTGGGGATTCCCTCTGTGGGATATCATCAGGATAATGTTAGGTCAGGCATTCCCAAACTTGTGGCTTGTTCAGTGTAAGCCCCTGGCAGGCCACGAGACACTGTTTACCTGAGCGTCCACCGCACCGCTTCCCACAGCTCCCATTGGCCAGGAATGGTGAACTGTGGCCACTGGGAGCTGCGAGCAGCCGTACCTGCGGACGCTCAGGTAAGCAAAGCGTCTTGCGGCCTGCCAGGGGTTTACCCTGAACAAGCCGCGAACCAAGTTTGGGAACCCCGGTGTTAGGTCAAACTAGATTATCCCGTGGTCCCCTCTGGCGTTAAAATCTATGAATGTGAGAGCATGATCCTCCTGGGTTTCCCACAGTGTTACAGATGGATCAGTAATTTTCCTGATTCTTAGTATTAGTTGGTTTTGTTATCTGTCTCTTTGTTACTGAACTACCATGTGCTGTGGACTAGCCCAGTACAAGGAGGTTAATGGTGGTCATTCTATTTCCAGCAAAACAAAATACAGACTCCGGGATGCTTTGTCTCTGGGGTACCTTGTTCTAATCCTATACTTAACTCCATGCTTTCTAAAGATAACCTTTTTCTCTATACCATTACCTGTGGTAATGTACCTGTAACCAATCAAAGCCATGAGACAAAAGGAAAAGGGCTTCTGTCTTGCAGTTGGGGTCTTTGGTCTTTACACTATCACTGGGCTCAAACAAGTTAATGGGGTGACATCTGATGGATGGGTGGAGTGACTGCAATCAGTGGCTTGAGTGTCTGCATCCTGTCTCATTGCTCATTCTGAATTTGTGTGCGCTGTAGTTCTGTGTGGGGCCCGCTCATGAAACATCGAAGTCCATAGGACAGGGTTTCTCAGACTATTTTATGCTGTAGCTATAGACAGTCTTGACATAGAGATTCTCTGGTGGACACCACCACTCCCTTCCAACTCTATGCCTTCCTGAGGGCAATTTGAGTCACTAGGACAGGATTAGAGAGATCAGATGAAAATAAATTGACAGCAGTGTGATGGGTGTGGCTGCTTGGCTACTCCCCTTTGTTTTGTGCATCTGTTTGTCTCTAGGGACATGTCTACACTTGCCATTTAAAGCAGAAAAAGTCCCTTTTTTGTGCAAAAACCATGGGAGTGTCTTCACTTGCCAATGACTTTGTGCAGTGAAACTCAACAGGTAAACAGACATCCACCCCTCCCCCTGTAAAGCCCCAAGAACTTTGAAAATCCCCTTCCTGTATTCTTGGCAAATGCTCACTTATCTGGCCAGGTGACAAGGCCTGCTCCACGGAGCAAATGATTCCCTGCTTGGAGCAATGCTGAGCTACTGGAGCTGATCAGTGTTTGGGGAGAGGAGGCTGTGCAGGGACCCAGGATGTTCTCTCTCTCCACCTCCCCCATCACCTCCGCCCCCTTCACACAGGACCCATCCTCAAACTGGAGAGAGCTGCACTGTGGGATAGCTGCCCTAGACTGCTGCTCTCATTGCTGATGGAAGTGCTGCTAATGTAAACACTCTGATGCCTGAGGAATTAAGTGAGTACACAAACCAGTGCTAAAACTCTGCAAGTGTAGACATACCCTAGGATTTTACAGGTTGCCTGCAGCCCCCATTATGTCCTTCACTGCTTTCCCTTCCAGTTCTGGTGTTCTGATATTTCATCACTTGAATTTGACCCAGAGAAGCACCAGACAAAAAGAGGGAGCTGGCTGGTTTTGAGTACTCATCAAACAAGCATTTGAAAATCCTGAGAGTCCTGAATTGGATTACAACCAGTAGAAGGCATTGCTTGAAGTCCTAAGGAATGCTTCATGATCGTGACCGAGAGCTCCACAGATCATCTAAGAGCTGCTGTAATAGGGAAAAACTCTGAAGCTATAGGATCCTGGAGAGGGGAGGGACCAACAGAGGTACCGATAACTAAAGGTGGCTTGGGTAAGAACCTCACTTCTTCAGATGCAAGCTTATGCTCCCAATACTTCTGTTAGTCTTAAAGGTGCCACAGGACCCTCTGTTGCTTTTTACAGATTCAGACTAACACGGCTACCCCTCTGATACATAAAGGTGGCTTGTGGGGATTCAGATTAAACAGTTGCTGTTCATTCACCTGTTGTTGCTCTGGCTCTGCATAACTTGTTTACTACTGTAGGCCAGTGGTTTTCAAACTTTTTTTTTCTGGCAACCCAGTTGAAGAAAATTGTTGATACCCACGACCCAACAGAGCTGGGGATGAGGGGTTTGGGGCGTGGGAGGGGCTCAAGGCTGGGGCAGAGGGTTGGGGTGCAGAGGTGAGGGCTGTGGGGTGGGGCCAGGGATGAGGGGTTCGGGGTATGGGAGGGGGATCTGGGCTGGGGTTGGGGTGTGAGAGGGGGTCAGGGTTCTGGGCTGGGGGTGCAGGCTCTGGGGTGGGGCTGGGAATGAGGGGTTTGGGGTACAGGAAGGGGCTCTTGTTGTGGGGGGGGCTCAGGGCTGGGGCAGAGGGTTGGGGCATGGAGTTACCTTGGGTGACTCCCGGTCAATGGCGCAGTGGGGGTGTTAAGGCAGGCTTCCTGCCTGTCCTGGCACCGCGGACCACGCTGTGCCCCGGAAGTGGCCAGCAGCAGGTCGGCTCCTAGGCAGAGATGCACAAGCAGCTCCACGCGGCTCTTGCCCGCAGGCACCCTCCCCCAGCCCCCAGCTTGGAGTCCTGTGTGGAGCCGGTGTTCGGGATGGGGGCAGTGCGCGGAGCCCCGTGACCTCTTTTCCCCCCCCCCCCCCGCCTCCCCCTCCCAGGAGCCAGACATGCTGCTGATCGCTTCCGGGGCGCAGCGTGGTGTCAGAACAGGTAGGGACTAGCCTGCCTTAGCCTGGCAGTACCACCGATGGGACTTTTAACGGCCCGGTCGGTGGTGCTGACCAGAGCCGCCGCGACCCAGTGCCTTACATTCCACAGCCCAGTACTGGGTCATGACCCACAGTTTGAAAGCCAGTGCTCTAGGCCACCTGCCACTTGGCATCTTGTAGAGAACACTTGTTCTGACTAGCAAGTGTAACCTGGCTCTGCGCTTCCTTTGTGCATACCAATGTGTGTTTGCTCTGCCACCTATTGGCTGCTTTATTCCCTGGTACTTACATTCATTGACAATATTGTCATAGCAAAACTATAATGAAAGTTTTCTATAATTACACTGATTCTGGGGTGGGAAGAGAGGGTGTCAAGGTTTGTATTTAAACATTCCCTGCAGGGTGGATTGATTTACATCAGTCACTTAAATCCTAATTTAAATCACTAAATGGAAACTTTGATTAAAACTGGTGATTTAAATCAATATTTCCATTTGTACTTCCTTTATTTTCTAAAGAAAGGTGCTTCTTATTGGTTGAGAATTGTTAAAACGTGTTAATTTACAATTAAATAGAGCCTTTACACTGGATTTGATACATTTTTTTTTGCCATTTAGGAGGGTACACCATAACTAGAGTAAGTATCCATGATGAGTGGAATCATAAAAACTAATAATTTGAGAACTGAGCCAATCACAGCTCAGGCACGGAGAAGCTATAACATAGGAATGTGAGATCACCCAGGTGGGCTCAGTGGATGATCCTGATGAGATACAAAGATGGTGTCTGCTGGAGTTAGAGGCTGGGTCTCAATGCTGTGATGACTTTGCAAGTCTCTTGCATCCAGTAGCACGGGCCTGGATCTTCCACAGGCTCAAGCTCCTAATACAGTACATGACCTATTGTGCCATAGTTATAAAGCGTGACCTCCAAATTTGAACATTTTCCCCCTAATTCTGTCTTTATATAGAAAAGCAGCCTTTAACCCAAAGCTTTTTTTGTGGAGGCTCATGGATTCAGCATATTTTTTTTTTTATTTAACATATCTTGTACTAACTTCAGATTTAATTTTAAACAGATTATTTTTAAAGGAAAAACTTGTAATTTAAATGAAAAAAAATCCTTTTTTTTTTAATCATGATTTTTATCTCCCTGTGCCATGCAGAACTCAGATTGGCCTAAGAATGACTTGCTTGGCAGTGAAGACTCCCCCTAGTCCCAGTGTTGCCTTTTTTCCAGATACTAACACGTCTCAAACCTGAAGCTTTCTGGTGCATCTTTCCTAATATGCTTCCTTTTCCTTTGCAGGTGTGAATGACAGAGGAGGTGCCCCCAACTGCAGTTAGTGACATAAACCTGCGTCTTCTCTGCCACGATGACATAGATGTAGTGAAACAGCTCTGCGGTGACTGGTTCCCAATAGAGTATGTAACACTCCTGTGGAGGGTGGAGGGGGCGCACGGAGAGACAGTCTAAACAATTAGTGTGAAAGTGTGGAGCTGAGAGCATAGGCAGGTACTGTGACAGCTGCCCCACATGCCGATGTACTTCAGTCCTGACCATCACCCACTGCCTGTCTAGTCCTGTGTCACCTATACAGCACTGCCAATGGTCCATCAGAATTCAGGGGGTCTTGAGAATGAACAGCAGAAACAGATAAACTCTCTTGTTTCTAAAGAATCCCAAAGCCCCCTCCAAGGGAACTGTGGGCATCTTACAAGGAGCTTTGTAATAAAGGGGGGAAATCTTAGAGCGGGCTGCCTCTTTAAAGGGAATACTTTTGGCGGAGGGAGAGGCGGGAGTCATGTTTCCACAAGAAATGATGGAATCCTTGTCAGTCGGGTTACTGATAGCATAGAATGAAATTAGCCAAGCTGGGATGTGGTCCAGACACCTGGGTTAACACCCACACCCTTACAAAAAGTGCCATGGGATCTTTAATGATTACATGCGAAGGCCTTAGTTTTTAACTCCATCCAGAAGAGATTCCCTCCATCAGCAAAGCTTCCTAGCTTGGATATCTATTGACTCCTGTAGAAGAGTGACACCTACTAGACTGCCAGTACTACTTCCTTCAGCATCTGAGTGTTTGTTGCAGGTCTCCCACTGAAGTCTTATTCTGGCCCAGCTTATGCTGTAACCCTGCCAGATTCCACAGGATGGCCTGACTGCAGGCTCATGGCTCAATTTGAAATGCTGTGTGTTCCCTAATCATTCATGGGTATTGCTCTTTTTCTTCCCAGGTACCCTGACTCATGGTATCAGGACATCACTTCCAACAAGAAGTTCTTTTCCCTTGGAGCCACCTACAGAGGCACCATTGTGGGAATGATAGTAGCTGAGATAAAGAGCAGAACAAAAGTGCATAAAGAGGTAGGCAACCATAGTCTAAGATGAGATGTGTGTATACCCCCAAACGCTTACCTGCTCTGGGGCCCATTTCTCTCATTGCCTGGCTACTCATTTGAGCGGTCAAAAGACCAAATTTTTCAAGACCTTTTATTGTGCACCACCAGCAGTTCATTTTACTAAGCTCCAGTTGGTTACTGAGGGCATAACATGGCCTGTAGAACATTGTATTACTATTGATGTGTAAGAAAGAAGATCCCAGCTTGACTCAAAGCCTAGAGTCTGTTTGCAGAAGCTGGGAGTGGACGACAGGGCACGGATCACCACTGTCTGAAGACCGGCTACTGGGCTAGATAGACCATTGGTCTAACCCAGTATGGCCGTTCTTATGAAGAGTTGGCAGAAAAAGCACAGTCTAGCTGGTAAACTGCTGACCTTTGATCTGGACACTCAAACGTGGAACCCCACAATGCCATTTAACACCTTTCAGTAAACGACTAAACATGAAACAAGTGTGTTTAATAAATGATTACTATCCCCCAACTGGCAAGAAATATGAAAACAGCAGAAACTCCTCCCCCAGCCCAAACAGGTTCTTTCCTTTTCCTCCATTTAGGGGGCTGTGTTTATCTCCCCATTTCCAACAGCTCCATAAAGGCACCTGGGATAAGAAAACTCTTCTGTGAATAGATGCTTGCTTTGTTTTGACATTATACACTGTGCTATACACATGTATCCTACTAAATGCTTTGTCATGTCTCTACTCAGGATGGAGATATTCTAGCTTCCAATTTTCCGGTCGATACTCAAGTTGCTTACATTTTAAGTCTAGGAGTGGTGAAAGAATTTAGAAAACATGGAATAGGTAAGAACATTCTAAATAGCTTTTCTATGTCTGTTGCTGAGCCCCAATCCATTGTGTGGTTTATTTACCCCTTGTGACTCATGTTTGGTATATGGGTGAAGCTTATAGAACTAAGAATGCCTTGACTCTGCCCACTTCAGAGACTAGCTTGCACGCTAAGCTTGTATAGAACTTGTCATGTCTCACAGAATTGGAAATAGGATACAGATTACATCACACTTGCTCACTCTTGCATATACAGAGTGATTGAGAGTGGTGGCTGTTCAGTGGCCTCTGAAAACAGTAGGTGGATCTCAGTCCTATTCCCAGTGGATAGCTGACCATGCTGAAAACACTGTCATAACTATCAAACTTGCTAGCAGTGCCAGCAGATCTGCTGTGGACTGAATGACTATGGAGGCAGAACTCCTCAAGCCCACGAAGCTGGTCCCTCCAGGATGGGGTTGAGGCATGCTGATATTGATGGTGGGGGGAGAAGGGGGAGCAGGCACTGCCATTGCTCATACTGTGCCTGTGTTGTACTCTGAGGGGGGAACTACTGGCCTCAGAGGCTGCAAATGTGTGACATCTTCTCCAGCTGTTTTAAAAAAAAAAAGAGAAAACAAGGGGGATTCAAGAAATAGCACAACAATGTGGATCAGAATATGTCCATCAAGTGAGTGCAGTGATCAGTGTGAACCCCAGCTACAGCACAATAATTTCACTGCCATGGGGAAATCCTAGAGTAACAAGTCTTACCTCTTTGATGTGGCAGAATGTATGCTTCAAGGCCAGATAAAACGCTTTTCTTCAAGTGATTTGCACATGTGTATTCCACTCTTGGGGAGTGTGCACAGCTGGTGGAAAATTTTCCCTCAGCGGTATCTGTTGGGACAGCTCAAGCTTCCCCTGCTGTCACTCGCTACTGCATGCAGGTATAAACGGGGGAGCTGCCCCAGCCCCACTCAGTTCCTCCTTACTGCCCATGACGGTTGTTGGAATGTATTTGTCTTGCTTTAATAAGTACTCTCAGCATGTTATAGTTACTTGTTTGTATGGGCTTTAGTGTTAGAGCTTTCACTAACCAAAGTTTACTACTTTCTTGGTTCCCCAATTTGGGGTTCCATTGTTGGGACCAAGGAATACCTCGGTCGCTGGGCTTCAAGGCCTGTCTTTCATGTTCTAAACCAGGGGTGGGCAAACTACGGCCCGTGGGCTGGATCCGGCCCCTCGGGTGGAGGGACAGAAGGCTCCATGTGCGTTGGTCTTGCCTCCAGGCACCGCCCCCCGCAGCTCCCATTGGCCGGGAATGGGGAACCCCGGCCAATGGGAGCTTTGGGGGAGGTACCTGGAGGCGCAGCAAGGGCAGTGCACACACAGCCCTCCACCCCCCTTCCCCCAGGGGCCACAGCACTTCCTTGAGTGGCGCGGGGCTGGGGCCAGGGCAGGCATGCAGGGAGTCTGCCCTGGCCCCTGGAGCTGCTTTAGGTAAGCCGGGCCGGAGCTCGAACCCCTCCTGCACCCCGCCCCCCAACTCCCTGTCCTAAGCCCCCTGCCTGCACCTTGCAACCCTCTTGCACCCCAATCCCCTGCCCTGAGCTCCCTGCTGCACCCCGCACCCCTCCTGCACCCCATCCCCTGAGCCCCTTCCCGCAGTCTGCACCCCTGCCCTGAGCCCCCTCCTGCACTCCACACCCCTCTTCTGGCACAATTCCTTGCCCTGAGCCCCTTCTTGCACCCCGCACCCCCTCCCACACCCCGCACTCCCTCCTGCACCCCAAACCCCTGCCCCAGCCCTGCATACGATTTCCCCACCCAGATGTGGCCCTCGGCCCAAAAAGTATGCCCACCCCTGTTCTAAACCGATGCCCATGAGTGACCCGCACTCTAGTTGTTTAAAGTATCTGGGTGAGTCTCATATTAGGGGTCAGTGTCAATTTTGTAAGGACTTCAAGGCAAGGAGCAAGAAAGGTAGAGAAGCCAGATTGAAGTTTCTTTTGATGTAGGCTGCTCTGAAATGACCTTCAGAGTCTTCCTGGTTAGTGAGGGTACTGAGCGCTTTGGTTTCTGAGAGAAGTGCACCTCCAATGTTGGATGAGTCCTAGCACTGCTCACTTTCTCTGGTGGCTGGGAAGAAACATAAGGCTTCCACGGTGGCTGTTGGGAGAGGAAGATCATCAGTTCCTAAATCCACCAAGCAAGGGGACAAAGGGTCAAGTAGAGTGCAATAAAAATCGAAGCCCTCCTCCTCTCACTCATTAGCCAAGAGAGCACCATCGACTCTGGCTCCAGGGCAGGCACCGTTGAGTCTGGGGCCCAAAGTAGTACTGTTTTTGTCTCTTGCACACCAGTTAAAGACAATTCTGTTACCATCCATGACAGAGGCATATGCTGGGACGAGGAACTTGTTGAGCTTGTTGGTGCCAGTGTCCCCAAAGGTGCAGGAGATTGTTCCTATGGTACTGGCAGACCATCAGTCTCCTGCGTCCTGGACCTCATATCTGTCAGTACCATCGAGGAAAGATGGTGGTGATGGCTTCTCTTCAGTTATCTCCAGTTTCTTGACACTAATCTTCAGTAGGTGTCAGGAGAAGGTGATTCTTCATCTTATGACTCTTATGTCTCCCAACCACAGTGTCTTGCTCCTCCCCTCCCACATAAAAACAAGTGGAGAATAGGTATTTTTTATTCCCACCCCCCCTCCTGGGTCCCTCGTTGTCTCAGCTACCAACAAGAGGGAACGCCAGAGCAGCAGGCGACTATCCCTAAGTTGAAGGACGCCAAAAAGCTTGACTTATTTGGTAGAAAAATGTGTTCTATGTTGGGGTTACAGCTTAGAATCACCACCCAGCAGGCTTTGTTAGGGTGATATGATGCTAGCACCTGGGACTATGTACTGAGATTTAAGGATAAGCTGCCTGAGGATGCTAAACAAGAGTTCCTTTTGTGGGTTAAAGAAGGGAAGGTAGTGATAAGGACTTCACTTCAGGATGGTTTAGATGTAGCTGACTTGGCTGCTAGGACCCTGGCCTCTGCCATCATCATGCATCGGTGCTCATGGTTGCACTTTTTGGGGTTGGCCTAAGAAGTACAGCAGACTATTCAAGACCTGCCATTTGAAGGGTCATCTCTCTTCCTGATGCAGACAGATAAACTTCACGGCTCCAAGATGACTCTGAACTCCTTGGTATGTATACTTCTGACCTGTCAAGGAAACACTTTCATCCTCAGCAGTCTCATCAATACCCTACTCTTGTGCCTTACCAGGACCTAACAGACAAAAAGAGAAGTTATAGGTGCAGGTTGATTTTCTTCTTCTGCAGTAGTTCCTGGTCCATCTAGGCACCCTGGGGGCACTAAACAAGCATGTTGATGGGCACAGGAAGCCTGTTGGGAAGGAAGGGGGAGAGTTTGCAGAGCTTCCTGCAGCTGGGGGAGAAATCTGGGGGAGGGTCTGATCCAGCCCCAGATGCCATGCAGGGGAAGAGGAAGTCCTGTCCTCCCTGGCCTAGCCGGGACTAGCAGCTGAGCCCAGCTCAGGTGGGAACCACGAGCCATGTCTTCCCCAGTCCCGCCCCTGCCCCACAGTGATTTACCTCTTTACTGGCTGCCCTGGGCACCCAAAACGTACTGCTGGGGAGGGTCACATGACCACTTTTGTGGCTTCCCTTTGCTTCCCTGTCAGTCATTTTTCTGTGGGGGAAACAAAGAAATCTGCGGGGGACATAAATTCTGCGCAGGTGCAGTGGCACAGAATTACCCCAGGAGTAAGATGTGCAAGTCTGTCTTTACCTGGATGACTGGCTTGTGAAAGGCGGTTTCAGATACTGTCCAGTGTCGCTTGTATCCAGTCAACTTTCAATGCGTTGGGTCTATTGATCAACTCAGATGCCTATCCTCTGAACTGGGGAGAGGATAGAATTTACAATAGCATTATTGGGCTCAGCTCAAGCCAGAGTTTTCCTTCCAAGGTCAAAGTTTCAGACAATTTGATCCATTATTTTAGATCTCAAGGTTCACTCACTCAACTGTATGAGGCTTCTTAGGCATATGGCCTCTTGCACTTGCATAATCTGGTGTGACAGATTACATCTCAGGCATCTACAAAGTTGGCTGTCCTCCATATTCTCGCCAAGCCATTGTCCTCTAAACATCGTGGTGAGGGTGCCTTCTCATATTTTACCCTGTAGATTGGGGAACAAACCCTGTCAACATATACATATGTGTTCCATTTGTCCACCATCAGCTGCCACTGTTGTCGGTGATGGATGTGTCTGCCCTGGGTGTTGAGCAGCTCATCTGGGTTCCCTGCAAATGTGAGGGTGTATGGTCCACACAGAACTTGACTCTGCACATAAACGTCAGGAAGTTGAATGCCTGACACCAGTCTGATAGCTCTCCTACTCCATATCAAGGGGAAAAGCCTGCTCATTTTCACAGAACAGTGATAGTGTTCTACTTCAACAGCCAGGGAGGGGTCCACTTGTCCCTGCTCTGCCAAAACGCAATTCAGCCACACACACAGGTTATTTACAACTCAACTTGATTGGTCTTTCTGTTTGGATGTAGCCAGGTTCATTTTCCAGCTGTGGGGGTTTGTTCACATTGCAAGCAGGCCTGTTTGCAATGAGAACAAACGGGAAGTGCCAGCAAGGTCACAGTCTGGGTTCCCTTTGGACACTTCCCTGTTGCCCTGGACGAGCAAGCTCCTGTACGCTTTCCCACCAATCCCACTCCTTCAGAGGATTGCTAAAAATCAGACTGGACCATGCCCGATTCATTCTTATAGCCCCAGCTTGGCCTCCGCAGCACTGGCTCTCCACCCTCCTGTCCCTTTCAGTGAAAGCTCTGATATCACTTCCATTGGACCCAGAGCTAGTATCTCAAGATCATGGTCGCCTGCTCCACCCAAACCTGCAGGCACTTCATTTAACAGCCTTGATGGTCCATGGTTAGACTCTAGGGAGGAGTAGTGTTCAAAAGAGGTTCAGGATGTGCTTTTAAATAGTAGGAAACCACCTACTAGATCTAGTTACCTCTCAAAGTGGAACCATTTCTCTGTCTGGTCTTGACAATCTAGAATTTGGCCGAAATCCAGCATATCTTGGTGTAGCTGTACCTAAAACAGCAAGGGTTGACTGTTAGTTCTATCAAAGTCCACCTAGCAGCTCTCTCTCCTTTCCCCTGTCAGGTTGGTGATCACTTTCTTTTTTCTAATAAGATGTCAATAAGATTTTTGAAAGTCCTGGAACAGTTGTATCCTCAGGTACAAGATCCTGTTTCTCCATGGGACTTAAACTTGGTGTTTGTCAAAACTTATGGGACTCCTTTTGAGCCTTAAGACAGTTTACCCACGTCCTCTTGCAAAGTTCGTGTCAAAAGTGGGTTTCTAACTTCCACATCAACCAAATGATTTACTTGCCTTGCCTTTGTTCTCCTTGATGGGGAACAGCTGCATGCTCTGGATGTCAGGAGAGCGTTGGCATTCTATCTCAGCAGGTCCAAGCAGTTCCGTTTGTCTTCCTAGCTGTTTGTGGCGGTCACAGACAGGATGAAAGGCCTCCCACTCTCTTCTCAGTGGATTTTGTCTTGAATAGCCTCCTGTATTTGCTTGTGCTATGACTTGGCTGACATGCTGCCAAATGGAGTGACAGCATATTTGACAAAATTGCAAGCATTCTCTGTGGCCTTCCTGGTGCAAGTTCCAAGGATTTGTAGGGTGGCAACATGGTCTTCATTGCATACGTTTGCATCCCATTATGCCATCAATCAGTATTCTGCCATATTTGGACGAGTTGTCCTCCAGTTCTTGTTCAGATAGACTCTAATCTGCCCTCCTGATTTCATGAGTTGTGAGCCATCAAGAGTAGAATGTACATAGTTTTTTCTTTTAGTGATTGACCGTCACCTGTTCCGTAACTGTTGTTCTTTGAGATGTTCTACATGTCAGTTCCACAACCCGCCCTCCCATCCCTCTGCATCTGAGTTTTCCAGCAAGAAGGAACTGAGGGGGTTTGTGGCCTGTTCCGTGGTTTATACCTTCGTGCAATGATGCATGGCAACAGAGGGCACTCATGCCTCCTTGATGGGTATTGTTGAGGGGAAAAATTTCTGACAACTGTGCATGGGACACACACACACCAAGAGTGGAGTGGAAATGTGCAACGCATCTCGAAGAACAGCAGTTACGGAACAGGTTAGTACAGTTTTCTGGTGTGATAGCATGTACCATCCTTGTCCTTAAGCATCCAATTCTTAGAAAGAAATGTGCCCTTCAAACACTAGCAGCTGGGACACAACGCCAAGTCTGGTAGCAGTGACCACGTTAAGGTATTGTGCAGCTGGGGCCATGTTAGACTTGACTTGATTTATTTGACCTGTTCAGTAGATAGGATTATAATTGTCCTCCCCTGAGCGCTCACATCTGCAGAGCTGCAGACACAGGCTGATATGATATGCCATAGAAATGATCTGGGTTGTGTCTATGTGGGAAAGCACCAAACTGAAGCCTTGGTTCAAGTGCTGTCTTGGGACAGACTCTAGGTTATCCTGAGAATGGAATTCAGGGAAGTTGGTAAAGGGAGGGGTCTCCTGTTTTCATAAGGAGGTCTCTGAGTCACCTTCAGATGCCCCGGCTGGCTGGTGTATCTTGCTGGAGTTTCTCGATTATGGTCAACATTTCTTGCACTTCCTAAATTCTGTCCCAATTTAATAACACATTTTTCTGAAAGACCCTCTCTAAAGTCCGTCCATCGCCTTGGATCAGAGTTCAGGATCAGATAGCTATTACAGAATAGTACATTGAAATGTTCCAGAGCTACATAACATTTGAGGGATTGACGTTTTGAGAGCTCTTCTTTTCTTATCCAAGAGCTCTTCCATTTCCACTCAAGAGCAAAACCTTTCATGCAAGCGACTTTTTGCTCCAGGCATTTTCCACCTTTTATTGTAGCTCTGATTTCTACAGCAGACGCTACCTGGCTTCAGTTTCTGGCTCTTTCTTCTCCCGAAGCTAGAAGGGAACTGGATGGAGTGTGGGATGCAGACAAATGTGATACACTGTTGAGAATTTAAACTGCTCTTATTTTATTACTCATTTAGGTTTCCTGGGATGGGTGGGAAAGTGTGCAAAGTCTTAGCAATGCAGTAGTTATCTTTCCAGGTACACAGGAGAGAAATTACCATGCAGCTTCTATATTTAAATACTCTTCCACGTTGAATTCCCAAAACCAGGTTCTGTATTGCTGATATCTGGTTTGTCTTAATCCACCTCAGTGCAAGGGGCTGGACTGGATGACCTGTTGTGTAGGACCAGAAGAGACCTGTTGTTTTATATTAGCATCCTTAGCTGGCCTTGTTGTACTTAGGTGGGGGGGGGGAGATAATGTTATGTACTGGGTAGGGATTTTCAGAAGCACCTAAATGGCGTAGGGGTACAAGTCCTGACTTTCAATGAGATTTGTGCTCCTAAATTACTTGGGCACTTCTGAAAAATCCCATTCACTATGTGGTTCTTTACACATGGATTGTAAAAGTGTAGCACAAATGAGGTCCATGTGTTTGGACATGTACTAGTGAATCATGTCTTTATTATTGCCCAGTGGTATCTCTGATGGGAGAAGTTAACACTAGCTTAACTTGAGCAAACTTATTTTGTTCAGTTATTGTAACGTGGCCATCTGAGATTCACATTGGAAATCATGCATGGAAGCTGTGCCCCATGACTGTATCCTGGGCTGTTCGTATGAGGCTTGGGGCACTTAGGTCACCTAAAATAGTCCATAGGGGTACAGAACCAGTAGAAGCCACTTCAGGTCAAAGGAGCCTCTTCGTATAGGAGGCTAGATATTCAACATTAGAGGCGTGTGTGGAGGCACATTAAGCTGGATCCAGCACACAGTACTGACTGCTCAGATAAACCTCCAGACCCAGTCTTCCAAGGCCAAGTGCATGCACTGTGCCCCTTCACTGACAAGTGCCAGATGAAAGATTCTAGATGGCTGGAGCCAAACTCCCAGGAGCTGATGGGGAGCTAAAGCCCTCCCTTATCTTTTGGCTAGAGTTTAGCAAGACAAGTGCATGTGACCTGCTTGTCAATTGCATTTTGCTCTTTACAATGTCAAAATGACTTTAAAACACTGAGCGTTGCCACCTGAAGAAGAGCTCTGTGTAGCTCAAGAGCTTATCCCTTCCACCAGCAGAAGTCGGTCCAATAAAAGATATCACATCACCTACCTTGTCTCTCTAGAACAGGGGTCGGCAACCTTTCAGAAGTGGTGTGCCGAGCCTTCATTTATTCACTCTAATTTAAGGTTTCGTATGCCAGTCATACATGTTAACGTTTTTAGAAGGTCTCTTTCTATAAGTCTATAAATATATAACTAAACTATTGTTTGTAAAGTAACTAAGGTTATTAAAATGTTTAAGAAACTTCATTTAAAATTAAATTAAAATGCAGAGCCCCCCGGACCGATGGCCAGGGCCCGGGCAGTGTGAGTGCCACTGAAAATCAGCTTGCGTGCTGCCTTCGGCACGCATGCCATAGGTTGACTGCCCCTGCTCTAGAACACTGAATGTACTCCTGTGACCTAGCTGCTGCCAGTCAAGGTGACAGGTCAGCCATTCTAAAAGTAAATGGTTCCAACAACCACCTTGCCAGCCCAATGGGAGTAGCTGTTTGGCTGGCAGTGGGCTATTGCTGGTAAGTCCTTGTGCCTGGAATGCTCATAACTGTGGGGGCCACAGCTGCATGTGTGGACCTTGTTACAGTCTAAATCCAGCCCTGCAGACTCCCACCGATCCATGGCTGTTAGGAGGGACTGCTCCCACTCTGTAGAGCCTTGAGTTTTCTGAAGCCCAGCATTGTAGAGAGGAAGGAACCTATTAAGACCACCCAACCCAGGTTCTGCTGACTGTTCTGAAAAGGGTGAATGAGAATGAGGAAAGATCTAGGAGCAGTGTTCCCTCTAATTTTTTACATCCATGTGCGCAATGAATTTTGTTATGTGTAACAATATAGAGATGATGTGTCGTGGGAGTGGGACCAAGGGGTTTGGAGTGTGGGAGGGGGCTTGAGGGTGGGGCTGAGGGTTGTGGTGCCGAGGGGTGAGGGCTGTGGCTAGGGGTGAAAGCTCTGGGGTGGGGCTGGGAATGAGGGTTTGGGGTGCAGGGTGCCCTGGGGCTGCAGTGAGGAAAAAGGACATTCACCCAGCCCTCTCTCGCCGCAGCAGCTCTGGGCCGGGGGAGGGGCTCCTCTGGCCAGGCGAGGGGCACCTCTCCCCACCTGTCTGCATGGTCCTTGGGAGCCTGCTGCGCGGTTGTGCAGCTTACGGGGAACTTAGTCTAGGAACTTTGTTCAGAGGCACTGATGGCTGGTGCAGAGGCTTGTCTGCACTCTCTACCCTGTCCCAGTAAGAGCGCTGCTGCTCTGTGTAATGCTGTTCTTCCTTCCTTTGATAGGTTCCCTCTTACTTGAAAGCTTGAAGGATCATATATCGACAACTGCCCAAGACCACTGTAAAGCCATCTACTTGCACGTCCTCACCACCAACAACACGGCAATTAACTTCTATGAAAATAGAGACTTTAGACAGCACCACTACCTGCCCTATTATTATTCTATCAGAGGGGTCCTCAAAGACGGCTTCACCTACGTTCTATACATCAATGGTGGACATCCTCCTTGGACAATCTTATATCCTTTACCCTGGACTTGATTAGCTGCAGAGTGAGATATCCCAAATACCATGTGTCTGGTTAAAACAACCCCTGCAAAGCAAGTCTGTTTGCAATTGACTGATCCCAGTTTAAGGATCTGGATTCCTTGCTTTCCAGAGGAGATTTGGATTTGTCTCGGACATGTTCGTGCCTGACTTCCTCAAGGGTGCTATTGGATCCGTTCAGTAGAACAGTACATGTCTCTTGTGAGGTTAGGGGTGTATATCTTTTCTACGTTGGGTGACTGATGGTAATGCAACTGTTTAGCTAGGACTAGGTGTGGTGTGGATGGACACTGTGCAAAACTCCCTCAGCACAGCTCTGCTGACTGCACCTGAGGCAAGACCTGCAGCTCCTCCCCTGCTATTCCAGTCCTGGGCTCCCCACATGGCTCTGTTAGTGTATCTAAGGGCTCCTATATACTACATATGCTTTGCTGGCATAGCTGTGCCAGCAGAGCCCCCTAGTGGAGATGGAGCACAAACCAACAGTTGGTCTGTCAGCATAGCTAATGTTGTTCGGGGTCAGCATAGTGATGTCTACACTGGGGGGTTTGCCAGCATTGCTGTGCTGGCTAGAGGGTGTGATTTCCCACCCCCTACGCTCCTAGCTGACATAGCTCTGCTAGCAACACTTAGTATCCAAAGCCTTAATCCCAACCTACAGCATCATCATCTGATCCGGTCTTGGCTTCCGCTTGAGCAGAGACTGCTCCATTGTGTGGTGGCTTCCACCAGATGCCTTCCAAATGGTTTCACTACTGATGTGATTGGGGACTTGAAGTCAGGTCTCAGATATGAAGGGCTAGTGAGCTCTTCTCCTCCTGTCCAGAGAAGACAGGCAGTGTCTGCCCTTTGTTGGGTATATCAGAAACTTGCTAACTATTGTAGGTCATGCAGGTGGAACCTTCCCAACGCTAATGGTGTGGTGGGCTCCAAATGCAGCTGGAAGCATGCTATTCAGTAAGGTATCTTACTCCACTCTTCTGAACGGCTCTAGGGATTCACACTCTCCTCAGGGAGGCAGGGTGGGTACAGAACAGAGATGACAAACTAAACTATAGGATATGCTTCAGGTCAGTCAGTCTGGGGGGGAGCGTAAAGCAGTCCCTTCTCCCTAACTCCTTAATGGTAACCAGGGCTTTGGAGCTGTGCTCTGGCTCCACTCCAGCTCCAGGCAAAAACCTGCAGCTCCACTGCTCCAGAGCTGCTCCACGTTCCTGCTCTGGGCTCTGCTCCAAAGCCCTGATAGTAACATGTAGTTGTAGCTGAGCAATCAAAATGTCTGTGCTGCCAGACGGGCCATGGCTCCAGCAGCTGAAGTGCTGTGGATTGAAAGTGATTATTCAGCTAAAGCATTTCCTGGGCATATTGTAAGGAATGTTCCCAAAGTGTCTTACTCTTACTGTGCAGTACAGACCTGCTTATTTGTGCCTGAGCAGTTAGCTATGAAGGGCAGGTAGCTGGCCAGTGCTGCTTTGCCTGGCCTAGCTCTCATTGCCTACTACTGTCCTACAAGCTGCTGTCAATAGTGTTTTTTAGGTTGTTTCTTACATTTCACTGTAAATGTCCCTGTTGTCCTTAACTGAGGCTCACTGACTACCTACAGCATATTGGTTCAACGCTCGCCAGCCTGAGCCCATGTTCGATTCCTCACCGGATATACCGCCAAGCCCAGAGTCTCCTCCGCAGCCTGCTGCCATGGTCTGGCATTTCCGCAAAGAGTGGCATTGAATACAGCCGGGCAACGTGACCCAGTCAGAGGGTGTCAGCAAAGCGAGAGGTAGGCAGCTGTGAGAATGGGGTTTATCTTCTCTCTGGAGCCCTGCACTGCAACAAGCCAGTGGCATAACAGACCCACCGTAGCGCCTGGAGCACGTGAGGCAAGATGCCTCAAGCAAGGGTCACTGCAACATAGACTGTGTGCCTCAACGTACAATTCAACCTCTTGGAAATGGCTAGAGCCCAGCTTCTGAGAGCGCTGCACCCCGGGATCCCTCGGTGCAGGGCTGTACACTGGCAACTATTTAATAATCTTGCCTCTTTTGTTATTGACTTCGCTCCTGCTACAGTTGATGGCAAATGCCCATTGACTTAAGGCCCTGATTTCCCCCCTCCCCCGAGAATTAACTTGATGTAATTTATTTGAGCCCAGTGAATGTTGTTAAATGCAATCTCCCGCTGCTGCAGGTGACCCCTTTCCTTGAGCGTTTAGAGCAGCTCAGCTGGGCCCTGAGCATTTGAGACTGTGTGCGCCCCCCCCCCCCCCCCCCCCCCGGTTCCGCAGGGTCTGGAAATCAGCATAGTAAACTCCCCATTCTCCTCCCACTGGCTCAAATGCGCAAAGCCCCAGTGTCTGACTGTAAGCTCTTCAGCGCAGGAGCTCCCACTTTGTTCTGTAAAGCACAATGTCTGTCCTGTCCTTTCCATGCTTTTCAGACAGCTGTTCTCTTGTCTTTAATAGGATAATTCTTCCCTTTATCTCCTGAATCATCTGGCTCTGTACTGATTCCAGTGATGCGGGCTTCCTATCAACAACCCAGCCTCTTAAAATTGACCACTCAGCTGTGGATTGACTGAGATTTGGCAGACCATATGCTTGACTTGCTGCAGCCCTGACTTGCCATCTTCTTGGCCCAGAGTCCCAAGGAATCCTGTGTGGATTGACAGTCATTGCTGTCTTATAAGAAGTGTCACTGTGCTGTAGGCAAGTGGCCCTTCCCATTACAGCTCTGTGTTTTACACCTCCCCTCCCCTCCCACTCTCCTTGCTTTTGGCCAGTACTCGCATAGATGCACATAGTTGTACATGAGATGGACAAGGATGCAGTCATCTGCTTTGCCATAGCATAGCTAATGACAGGAATGCACAATAAGGCAATCAACATGCACTGACCATGTTAGAGCCCACAATACATCAGAGGGCCAGGGCTGGAGTGGGCCCGCCATGTCCTCTCAGTCCAAGGGCAGATGGAAATGGGGCACATTTTCTCTTGGGCTCCCATGCTCCTGCTGATGCGTCTGTGTTGCTGCTGGTAACACTCCTGCCCACTCACAGGAAGGAAACTGCTGCTGAGATGCCCAGAGAGAGTCATCACCCCATGACTTAAAAAGAAGCATCTGATTCATGATGCTCTAAAGTAGAAGACAGGGATTGAAATTGCTGTTTCATAGTGAAATATATATACTGTATAGATCCTTCTGCCTTGAGTCTGAGCTAGAGCTCACCAGGATAGGAGTGGGGGAGATGTATAGAGTTATTCCTGTAGTTGGAGCCCCAGAGGGAAGAGTGAGCCACCTCCATTCCCTTAAACTGTCGCCGTTGGAACTGGAGTTAACCTCCCGCAGGCTGTTTAGGAATGAGATTTGTTCACAGATCGCTGCTTTTGAAGAAAATTAGCTGCTGCCCCACTTGTGTTTATAGAGACTGCAGGCCATGAGAGGTGTGGAGGGGGTGCGCTGATGGGCAGCCTTGCTGGGTCTGTGCCAGGAGTCTGGTATTGAAGTCCCTGTGGAGGCTGCAACGTGACTGTCAGCAGTGAAATGCTTGCTTTGTTTGCACAAGACTTGTGCAGGACACTTGTCTCCCCATGTGGAGCTTGCCAGACATTGATCTCCTCAATAGGCAGAAGGCCCCAGACCTCCCCACGTATTGAATTAGTGTGCAAAAAGACCCCATAGCCACAGGAGGGGCACCTGAGTGCTAGCAGGACATTGGAATAGTGCTGTCCCATCGGCTCTGCTAGTGGGATCAGCTAGGATTGAGCAAATAGGAGCAAAGCATACACTGTGAGTAAATGCCTGGCCTCCTTCCAGCAATTGTCAACAAGCCCCTTCTTCCCCTGGCAGAGGCTGTGCCCCCTTGGCTCTGCACCCCCTCCCCACTGTTCATGTGCCCACTTTGAAACTGAGTTGGCAGAGGAAGTCTTGAACTAAAGCTGGTGCGTTGTCTCCTGCTGCTGGCAGTGCGGGTGGCAGGTAACTAGGAGGTTACTACGGAGACAGGGACTGATGGGGTCTTACAGCACAAAGTTGGCCTCCGAAAGTAACTTAAATCTGCTGGAAGAATTAGCTCTCCAGATATCACTTAAAGACAGGTCAATGTCTAACTGTAGAGGATAACTATCCCCTTGCTATTACCATGCCAGCTGCTATCTAAGTGGTGTGGGAATAGCGTCCTATCTTGTCAGGGGCCTCTGCCTGGCACTGCCAGCATCCTAGATAAAGGACAGTCTTGGCAGCCCCCGCCCCTTCAGGAGGCTCTGAGAAGCCCGTTTTTAATACAGAATGTGTGCTGCAAATACAGCTTGCACTCTGTAACCCTGTCCCATGTGGGGTGGAGCCAAGCCCAGGAAGCTTTTTCAATCAGGCCCTGGGATGCTGCTGTGTGTCTTGCCTTGAGGCAGCAGTGGGGATCATTGTTGAAGGTGCTGTTCATTTCCCAGCTCAGCAGGACACACTCAGCTTCATTTGTTATATTGCTGGAATAGATTGTTTTATCACAAAGGAGACTGTTTCTCGGTTAGAGCGATAGTGTGTTAGAATTGCTGGGATTTCCCCGTGTGGAGCAGGAATGTGCCTGTTGTGGAGCTGGTACAGATGTACAAACTTCTGCTGTGCAGTGGGGAAATGGCTGAGCTTCAAAATGGAGGCTTCACTTTGTGTAGATCACGTGGACTGAAGTAGGCTAATGACTCGAAGGGCGAGAGCCTTGGGGGAAAACTGGAGGATGGGTTGGTGTTGGGGCTGTGCAGCCATTGCTTTGTGTCTAATTCAGTGCAGTAAGGCAGGTAGAGCCCCTGCCTGAGAAAGAGGGCAGTGACCAACCAGCATGGGCTGGGGCCAGAGTTTTGTGGGGAAACTTCCCCCATTCTCAGCGAGGAGGGGAGATCTAGCCAGTGCCATGCAGTGATCTCACCAGGTCCTGCAATGGGATGATCTTCACCCATTCAGACTGAGAATCAGCCCTCCTCCCCCACCAGCTGTGCTTCATTTTTGTGCATGTACCTTACGTCTAGCTAGTCTTTTGGCTGGGGGGCCCTTCTCTTGCAAAGAAGTTGCCTTCCAGGGAGGAATGGAATCTCTGCAAATGTATGTGCACTCCCTGCTCTGCAGCCAGAGCCACCCCACCCAGCAGGCTGGGCAAGATGACAGTCCTCTCCTCCTGACACTGAAATGTCTTAGATCCAGCTGGTAGCTGGTCAGGAGGTGACCGTTAAGCTGCTTAGAAGTGGGTTTTTAAAAAGGCTACTCTGAGCCAAGCCTGTTTCCTTGGGATGGGCTGATACCTCCCCAGAGCAGAACTTCTCAGCCTTGTTCTCCCGTCACCTTGTTTTTTCTCTTGTTTCCCTGGCCCACCTGCCTGGTATGGATACCAGTGTGCTCTGTATTTGGGGCGGAGGAGGAAGATCTGTTTCCTAATCATCCAACAAAAACTTTTAGCAAATTTTATCAGTGTAAAGAAGTTCTAACCCAGTATTCATTATACATTCAGGTGCTGGGCCACATGGGATGTTAAGGGGTGCAGCCCTTGTGGGGTACATCCCTATGCTAATGGGAAGGGCAGCCTCCCTCTGATCTGCCCAGCCCTCCAGACTCTGGCTGATTTACAGCAGCCTGAGGTTTCCTCTCCCTTCAGTGCCCATCTGCATTCTAGCCAGGAACCACCATCCTGCTTCCCCTGTTGGACCTGTGCTGTTGGTGGTTTGGGAGCTAAGAGGGTGAGGAGACTGGAGACCTCTGTAATAGACTGGATCTGCCCCTCACTGGCAACCTGCTGTCTGGGTAGTTAGGAGTGGGTGCCATGCAGCTTTCTCCTGATTGCCATGAGACTTGTACTGCTTCTGGCTGGGCCTGAGTGGAATCTCTCTAGCTTCTGTGGGCAGGATGTGGAGGAAATGTGGACAACCTAGGACTGGTGGGCTTTTCCTGGGGAGGGGAAGTTACCCTGTGGAACCTCCTTGTTCACTCCCTTGCCCTATCCCCATGCACATGTCCTAGTACTAATGAAGTGCAGGGCCACATGGCTGAGTTAGCCTGCTCTTATACACACAGGAACCACAAGGGGGAGTGATCAGTCTGTTAGGGATGCAGCCACTGTATTAGCATGTACTACAGAGGAACAGGTTCTCTAGCTGCCAGTAAGATCACCAACAATCCTTCAGTTGTGGGGCTGCCACAGAGGCACTCAGAGAGATGGGGGTCTGATTGGCTTGAACTCCTATTATAGAGCCTTCGTGGAGAGGCCTCGCCATTCACAGTTGTGTGACAGATGGCTTTATTCTCAACATGCTTTTAGATGGGGCCTGTGGGTTCTTCCCACTGTACATGAGTTGGGTCCCCAGTGGAGAAACCCCTGAGCTCTCCCTTCTGTGCCAGTGATCTTCCCAGGCAGAGTAGCCATTGACAATCTGCTTTGGCCCAGGCCTCTGGCAAAAAGGAGTTGCCAATTGAAACTGTTCCTGGTAATTCTGTATAGAGGCTCCCAGCTGTGAAATTATAGGGGTACCTACTCAAGCAGACTTAGCCAGATGCTCTGTTTGAGCTCTCAATCATGTATTCTACACTGTAGTATTTAGGACAGTGACTATACCAATGTAAATGACCCTTGATCTAGTGGCTGCTGGCAGATTCCATTTTCTCACCTCCAGAGGGAGAGGCTGTGGTTTCTCTCAAAGCATCTTAACCTAATTTGCAGTAACTGGTTTTGTATTTTTTCCCCCTTACATAGCTCATTTTTTAAAAAGTGCTTGAGGAGTTAGTCGCTAAACATGCTTCAGTGTACATTGGGTTTGTTTTCCTTGCACTTTACTATTGCTCTGAAATGGCTGTACAATACAGAATCGTTTTTCCTGTGGGCCTAGGTTTGAACTCTTCCAACTGTTTTTGGACCTGTGGCTGTTGTCCATTCTAACGCCCAATGCCCCAGCAATGGAGCACGTCCAGAGGAGCCAAGCTGCTTGTCCTACCTGCAATGCCTTTATGAACTCTGGCCTCATTGCAAAGGTGTCAGCCACACATCACCCTGTCACAACCCTCCTGTCCCCTATATTTATTGAAGAGCATATTGCTGTCACAGTCAGCCTGTCTCTCTAAATGTCAATTAAAATGATTTTTTCTTTTGTGATTCTCCTGCTTTGCTTTCAACTACAAGTCTGGATTTAAACTGCTGCTCTTGCCAACGGCAAGTACCCTACAGTGTGCTCCATAAACACAGGTGACAAAGGCAAAAAGCAGCTGTTCTCCTTGGAGCACTGGGTAAGACAGCTGGGCCATCCTCCCAGACAAGGTTTGCCCCAGTCAACCCTAGCAGGGAGCATTGCTGAGAGGCTTCAGTGACCCTATTGCTGGAACAGTCATTTCCCTTCAGAAAGTGGCTGGGGAGAGCCCTGCCCAGGGTCAGCACAATCCTGCACACCTATGAATTTTGGTTGAAGTGACATATGGTAGTGTTCTTGGCACTGTCAGGGCTCTCTGCAGAACAGCTCTTCTGTCTTATCATCAGGCCCATTTGCACCATTTTATCAGCAGGTTTTTCTCTGGGGGGGTAGTTAGATTCATAGTTCACCCTCTCCTCCCCACCCCAACACTTTCTGGATGCCTGCATTAAGGGGGTTGTACTGCTGCTGATCCAAGCACATCCCTTGGTGCTGCCCTGATTTTTGCCTCTCCCCCTCATGTGGGGGGGGGGGGGGGGGGAGAAGATGGTATCTTATGTGGAAGTCATACTACCCCCTTCCTAGGCAAGCATAACCCCAGCATCTGCTCTCTCCAGCTCCATGGGGGCTGGCTGATGTAATATTTGATGTCACTTTACCTCAAGACCTTCCCATCTTCTCTGGTCCTTCTGACAGAGCACATATAGCCAATAGCCTTGAAGGACCTAGGGGAGCCTCCCTTACTGACAGTACCTAACCAGCACAAGTGTAAGGGGAGGAGGCTTCTGCCTCTATTTCAGCCCCATTGTAGCTGTCACTGACCTCCAGTGAGGCCTCACCAGAGCAATCTGTCTGAACTAACCAGATCCTGAGTGCAGCCCTGCTGACTGCCAGTTATCCTAGCCCCATAGCATTGGCATTATGCAACCATAGCAATGAATCTGGCAGGTTACAAGGACAGACTGATGGGGCAACACCTATCACGGTAGTGCATGGGGATGACACACATGGTGTAGAGAATGTCCAGGATTGTTATTGTAATCAAGGTTAACAGGGACTTCTCTGAAACTACATACAGTTCTGCTGGGCTGTAGTGAGATGATTTTTAAGGCTAACCTGACCTCTTTCCCAATCTCCAGGGCAGTCTAATTAAGGGCCCCTGCCGTGACTTCAGGGGAGCTAGACTTAAGCTCCTCTCTTGCTGATAGTAGTGGACCGGCTCTAGCAGAGATGGTTAATATCTCTCTGGGGAAACCATCGACTAATCCACATTTCCATTCTGGTTGTCTGCCACCAGGTGATTTTATTTTTTTAATTCTAGCTGTCTCTAAGAAGCAGGCAAGGGGCAAAACATTGTTTTTCAATGTTAGAAAAGTACCGATTTTTGTGAAAGTTTCAGTCCCCCATCTTTATCTGTGAAAATCCACCCATGTTTGGCCACTTAAGCCTTTGGGAAAAGGAGCTTGCCCATGCTTTGTGAAGACTTAAAGTTTAACTGCAAAAATCTCCAGAGAAGTTGGTCCAATAAAATGTGACTCACCTTGTCTAATATCTGGGACCAACACTGGAGAGAAAAAAATCTCCAAAGACTGTCTTTATAGTGCATGTTCCCTACCCTCCCAGCTCCGAATGTCAACCTGACTGCATGCACCAACCCTACAGCCCCACTGAGCATGCTCAAGCCCAGAGCTATGGGAGCAAAGCCAAACTTTCCTTGTAATGGCTGTTCCTGGCTGCAATGGGGCTAGGTAGCAGAGAGTAGAGAAGCGGTCCTTCCTGTGTGCTAGGTGCCATCCCCTGCCCACTCTCACTGGCAACCAGGCACTGTAAAGTCACTGAAACACCGAAGTGACTAGCAGACCTAGGGTGCTGCAGAGGAGGACTCGGCGGAGTAGATGGAACAAGGAGCCAGGGAGCAGAGACTGGGTTTGGAGGCTGGGTGCCAGGGAGGAGGGGGAGGGAACGGTGATCAGATGAGGAGCCTGGGAACCAGCAGAGTGTGGGGGAGATGGAGCTGACAAAGACCCAGGTGCAGTACTGAGTGGCTGGCACAAGGAGCTGGGGGAAGCATGGAGGACAGATTGAATGAGAAGCTGGGGGAATGGAGAATATGGGGCAGGAGGCAGAGTAGGGAGTTAGAGGGAACTAACATTGACTGGACAAGGAGACTGGGAGTAGGGAGAAGACAGTCTGGACAGGTGGGACTAGCACTTACTGGGCAAGGAGACTGGAGTCAGAAGCCTGAGGAGTAGAAACTGGAACAAGTGGAGGGGCTGGTCAGCTCATCTTGGGGGCCCACCAGGTAACAGCTTGGTGACATTTGGTGTGAGCAGTGGGATGTCCTGGTGGGGCACAAACCAGAAGATGGTCAGGCTCTGGCTCTCAAGCTAGAGGAAACCCATCTTCCACTTCAAGAGGGAGCAGGAGAAAGAGGGAGTGGAGAAGAGGATTAATAGGAAGAAAGTGAGGGCCACTTGGGTTTGAAGCCTGCCTCAAGTATCCTGTTACAGCAATTTGAGCCATCAGGAAAAGAGGGATAGAGACAGGCCCACAGTGGGGAGCGTGTCTCAGTTTAGAGAACTCCCTTGGCTCAGAGTGATTGTTCAGGGACCAAAGCAAAGAGCTTGGTAGGAGTACCTGAAACGTGGATATGGCAGCATCAGGCTGCACCCTATGACCCTTGGTAGGGCAAGGTTGGGCTACAAGGCTGGGAGAATCTGCTGGAGGATGGTGCATAGAGAGCTGAAATTATCCCATCTGTTGAGAGGGAGACGACACAGCCAGGTGTGAATGAATGGAAATAACATGCCTGGCCACAGGAGGAGGAGGGGACCATCTGGTTGATTCTCCTGTTGACAGGGAAAGCTCTGGATGCAACTCGTGCCGTCAGCAAGGATGTGGTAAATGGTTATGCAGAAGTGAAGGCGGCAATTCTTTGAAAATACCAAATTACGAGACATTGACAGTGGTTCATGGCCACTGAGATAGCTCCAGACAACCCCCAGAAATGGAGACATAGGCACTGGCTGCAGCCAAAGCAGAGACCTGGGAACAGTTCCTAACCGTATTGGGGAAGGAATTCAGTATGTGGGTCCAAGCGTGGCAACCACAATCCAGCACAGACATGGTGATGTTGGCAGACCTATAGTGGTGATGCCTTGTGGATTTCCAAACAAGGACTGCTCCAGTTCCACCTAAGAGTTTGGAAGTGAGTAAGGGAACTACAGTTGTGGCCCAGGGTGTACTAAAGGAAAAGGGGGTGAGAAATTTAAGGGTAAACTGAAAATGGCAAATCCAGTGGAAAAAGGAAAGGTGCCCGTTAAGCGCTATTACTGTAGTCAGAGGGGGCACAAAGCCCAGGATCACCTTACAATGAAATCAAAAGTTACTAACCTTATGAACCTGGCAACTCAGCAAAGGGAAGCTCCCAGCAGTCAAATGCTGGCTGCTCCACTCCATGTAGATGCAGACACCAAGGTGTACAGCCACTCAAAGCGTGCTAGCGGGAATCGCTTTGCTCTCCAGTTTTCATTATAAGAAAGAAAAGATCTCAACAGCGAACAACTACAGCAAAGCCATTTATTTCATTTTCCTGCTCCCCCAACTCTCCATATGCAAAGCCACACACCACCTTTCTGCACCCCACAGGGGCACCAACAACTAAGCCACCTGGGAACTGCCACTAGCCAGGTAAGCTGCCACCTTAAACTCTTCCATGTGATACCAAAGTCATGAAACCTGGGAACACTAGGAGCACCCCTGGACTGTTCCTACAGGAGCCAGTTTCATTTGTGCACCTGGCATGGAGCTAGAGCTGGCAGACATGCCTCTTTTCAATTGGGTTCACTTACTCCCCTGTCCCTTCCCCAACACAGCTGTGATTGGGTTCACAATACTGCAGCAGGGGTCTAAAAACCCTCCTTGGAACAATTTAAAAAGTAACATTTCTGTTCATTAAAACAATACCTAAGCTGGGACCTGAATGGAGCAGAGCATCCCTGTAAATTAAAGCATTCTAAGAGAGTCCTCGGGTAAGCACACGGACACCGGAGGGGGGCAGTTAAGAGATATCTGGAAAGCTTGGTACTGTTTATGGGCCTTACAAAATATAGCTTTTCATTGCTTCAGGCAAGTCTAATCCCATCCCACCTGAGGAGCACTGAGGTGGAGTCACCTGGGCAGCATTTGCAGCCAGTGACTGTCTGGAAAGTTAGAAGAAAGTCTCTAGTCTCTTTACCCATTTTTAACCAAGTTGAAAAAGAAAAATTCATCACTCAGCCATAGCCTCAGCCGCTGGCTCAGTCATGGGCTCAGGTGCTGGCTCAGCCGCTGGCTTTGCTGTTGGCTCAGCCGCTGGCTCTGCTGCTGGCTCAGCCTTTGACACAGCTAAAGGCTGATTTGCCAACTCATTTGCTGGCTTAGCCACCATCTGATTGGCCGTCACAGCTGCCGTCACATTGGTCACATTGGCCGTCACAGCTGCCGTCGTCACATTGGCCGTCACAGCTGCCGTCGTCACATTGGCCGTCACAGCTGCCGTATCAGCTGCCGGCTTTTTTTGCTTCTGGGTGGCAGCCACTGCCTCTGCCAGCTTCTCCTCAGGCACCATATTCAAGACCTTCAGGGCAAAGAGCAGCTGGAATTTAGCAGTCCCGATGAAGGAGTTCCCCAGGAAGTTCGGCAGCCCGCCCATGCGGTCCTTCTGGGTGTACAAGGGGACACGGACCATTCCCATCACCTGCAACAGCACAAGCAATTCAGTAACAACAAATTGCACCTTCAGCCCACCCTCAGCACAAGCCCCACCAGCCACCCTGATCCATGAAGGTGCCATACCACACCCCAGCACCCAGACCATGCATGCCCTCCCCATACCAGCCCCTCTTACTTCCCCAGGATGAGCACAGGTGCCACATCCAACCCCCCCAACCCCCAGCATGAATACCACACCCCTGCCCATTACTCCATACCAAACCCAGGTGATGCCCCATATACCCTCTGCACAAGCACTCTAGCCCCAGTCTGACCACCCACCCTACCTACCCATCCCACCCCTGACCCAAATGAAGACCACTTCCCTCCAGCATACCACACCTTACCCATTGCTCCATCCCATCCCCTACCATCCCCCAGTAGGAGCACCACAGCTTACCACCCCACCTTTCCCTACCACTCCCCACCACCACCACACCCCCAACACCCCAGGTGTACCACCAACTGCCCCCAGGGATGACCTATGTTCTGGGTCTATGCCTTGCCCTTCATACCACTCTGCAAGAATGCTGTGGCTCCATGTCCCCCTCAACAGGTGCCACAACCCAGGGTCACATTTAGTGCACACGCAGCATCACTCCTGGCAGATCACAGCATCGTACCCAGGCTGTACAAAGGGTCCTCCACCATCTGTGTTCTACATCAGGGGCATTAGATGACCTGGCACAAGCTCACCAACCCTGCCAGAGAATCCTGTAGCACCAGATTCCCCAGAAAGAAACTCATGTCTCTTTCTCTGACTTCTTACCAACTTATGTGCAATCCAAGCTGGGCCTAATACCTTGTTGATTAAAGCAAGGCACTGCCACACAGAAGATCACAGTTCCAGTCAGAGACGACACATCCAGACCTCACGGGATGCTCACCAGAGCTGAGGGTTACTTAAAGTTCACCCAACCCCCATGTCAGAGGCACTATCTTTATGACTGAAAAGCAAACAGGACTCCCCTTCAAAGTGCAGCACAAAGCCCTCCCTATGCTACCACTGTCCTTGCCAACTCCCTAGTGAAGGGCCAGGACTCACAACTAGGGATTGCCATGTGGCAGTGCATAGCACTCGCCAGTCGCCACTGGTAGCTGTTAAATGCGGTGCATTCCCCCGCCCAGCTGCAATAGATAGCAGCCCAGCAGGCCTAGTGAGGGAAGTTTCATTCCCCGATGATGTGAAGTCTCAGAGCTTCCAGACACCCCCTCCGAATACCCCACCTCCAGCCCGTGGTCCCGGGAATGCACCGCGCAGATCTCGATGGTGTGCAGCTCCTCCAGGGTCAGCTGCCTGGCGTAGAAGTGCGCCACCACGCGATGTGGCCCCTCTGTCAGGTGCGAGCACAGATAATCAGCTTCCGTCAGGCGCACACAGCCCAAACCCAAGCCCAGCACCCGATTCAGACCATCCTCCAGGGACCAGTAACGGCGATCCACGAACCCCCCAGGAAAGCCCAGTAGTCCGTCAAATCGCATCTGCATCTGCAATAGAGGCGCATTACGTTAATGGGGCACAGTACATAGCCCCAGGGACCCTGTGGGAGAGGAGAGGGTACCCCCAGCCAAGAGCTGGACACTTACCACCACAGGAAACCTCTCCAAGACAAAGGGGCCAAAGCACGTGAGGCACAAGACAGTCTGTACCCTAATCAGAGAGGTTTGAGGCTTTATTGTACCCCTCTTCCATTGCCCCATTTGCTTCAGCACAATATTAGCTTCTTTTTTCAATTGCCTTTGTGAAGGAAAACCTAGAACTTGACCCGGTGCCGGGCTGTCAGACAGTTTTTGTAGCTGAGTGGCGTGAACTGCCCCGCTCATCTCACTAGGAAATAAGTGCTGAAGGCCAAACAGCTCTTTCACTGTGATCATTTTTAGCAGAAAATCCTGCTACCCTTGGTATTGGAGCAGTTTGATACTGCCAATGTTGCCTACCCCTCCAATTTTTACCTAGTGGTAGCCCCAGAAAGCCCATTCCTACTTCTCTGCAGGATGAAGCTGAGCCTCCAGGGGGTCGCCTTCTTATGAGATTCCCCAGTACTGCTTTGCCATTCTATGGGTATCCTGACACATCAATACTGGACCATATGGAGAGCCTAAAAAGGAAACCCATCAGCCTAGTGCCACTGTTGACCAACCCCAAGTCTTGACAAGTGCACCAGGCACCTCACAGCCAGAGGACCAAGCCTACCAACCAGAGATACACAGAAAAGACACAGCCACTGGTGAGCTCAAGGGGCACGTTCAGTCCCCACCTCCTAGCTACTGTCCAGGAGTGGAGTGCCAGTTTCAGAGCTCCATGTTTTGGATCCGCCTCAGACAGTGGATGGTTGGAAAATCTGAAGCTCCAGCCTCTGTACCTGCAGGAAGGGAGATGGAGCTCTCCTCTGCAGGCTGCTGTGAAGGGGGCATTTCTGCTGCTCTGCTCCTCCCCTACATCTGGGTTTTGATCCTTCTCAGTGATTACCTCCGGGCTCTGGTCAGCCCTTCCCAAGGTGCAGCCGAGTGAAACAGACATGACTCTTGTCAGTTTCAATGTCACTTACAGCACTGTAGAGAGCAACAGCAAAACCCGCCAGTCTTGTTCAGTTTACTTTGTTCTTGCTCAGCAAAACCCTGTGCCACAGCAGAGGCAATGGAACACCCCGTCTGCAAACTCTGGCAGACAGCATTGCAGAGGTTCAAGTCTGCAAAGCCATCCTCGCAGCCATATGGGCCATATAACACTAGGTAAAGACACATGCACACACACACCCTCTCTCTATGGATTAAAGGGCCTATTCTTCAGCAGCTGACAGCATAGAATCCACAGGCCTAGGGCGATTCTGCTAAACACGCTGGGGTGGCTAGTGGTGTGTAGGGGAAGAGGGTTAGCCGCTGTCCTCGGGCCGGCTGCTCACGCCCTGCTGGGGCGAGGCACGGCCAGGCAGGGTAGAACTAGCAGATCTGTGCTTGGGTAGCGACAGGCAGCCCGCAGGGAGTTGGTGCAGTAGCGCGGGGAAGGCCTCAGCCCTAGCCCTGAGCGGGGGTCCCAGCTCTCCGTCCCGCCAAGGGGACTCATGGCATTCCCGCACCCTGAAGGCCGGCTCCCCGCTGCCCACCGCAGGCCCCAATCGCCACCCAACCACGCCCGGCTCCCCACGCCCGACCCCAGCCCTCGCCCAACCGGACCCGCCCCAGGCCCTACCCGAAACCCCAAACCCAGCCCAGGCCCGGCTCCCCCCCTCGCCCAACCGGACCCGACCTAGGCCCCAGCCCCCAAGCCCAGCCCCAGGCCCCGCCCCATGGAACCCGTCCGAGGCCCGCCCCAGGCCCCGCTGACCAGCACGGCGTAGCGCAGCGGGATGCGCCCGAAGAGCATGCCCGGGTTGGGCGCGTACAGCATGGCGTGGCACGAGTGGCTCCAGCCGGGCCCGAGCCGCATGGCCTCGTAGCGGCTCAGCGGCTTCAGCTCGGTCACGCCGGGCACCGAGAGGGAGGGCAACAGCCCCGCCGCGCCCGCGCTCCCCGTCAGAGCCGCCATCACCACACAGAGCCGCGACCAGAGAGAGGCCAACCCTACTGTGTGCGCTGACCTATCACAGCGCTGCGGGGCGGAGCCACACCTGCAACAGCCAATCACCGAGCCCACTGTCCGCATCCAGCCAATCACAACACGGCGTGTGACACCAATGCAACAGCCATCACCCAATCCGGCCAATGCCATTCCCAGGAGGAGGGCACTGTAACGCCATCAATAGCCCTAGTAGCCAATCAGATCAAAGCTGCGGGCCGCGAGGAGCGGCCGCGCGGCATGCTGGGTTCGGGCCAGAGCGAGCAGGGGCTCTTCACTCCCAGGCACAGCTGACCAGGCGGGGGCGGAGCTCCTTAGCTCTGCCCTCCCCGTGACCACTGGCTGCTACCCACAGTCGTGATTGGCTGCTGGGACCAAGAGGTGGGGCAGTGAGGACAGGCAACAGGAGGGGATCCCAGCTATGAAAGACGGGGTCACGCGGGGGGCGGTCACTCACTGAGCTCGCGGGCCTGTTACTAGCCAGTGCGCCTGGATGGAGGAGATGGGGGAGGAATTGGGGCCACTGTGACCCCGGGCGGGAG